ACCACCAAAAGAAGTAGTCAGATACTTGGGTAAGAACATCCAATACAACTACAAGAGAGTGCAACGCTTTAATACATTCAACTGCGGACATCTGGCTCTCAATTTTTTACTCTCTCTGTCTCCCGCCACCCCCTCAAACAAGTAAGAGAGGGGCGAAACGTTAGTTTTCCACATTCCTCTAAGCCACCCCCCTCTCGTTCTCTGGGTGAAATGTACCGATCAGTGAACACAACAGGGGTGGTGCACCCACCACTTGTTCTCCATACGCACGCATCGGTGCACCCACCACCACCACCACCAGCACCCACCACATACAGTTAAGGGTGATATAGGGATGGATGTGGAAAACTCTCCCTCAAATGAAATGAGAACGGTACCTATGGAACGGAACAGGTATTCTATAAAACCTCATTGTTCTTGAAAGTAAGTGACATATAAAGTTATCAGCTAGACACAACAACAACAGCAACAGCAACAACAACAGCCCCAGGAAACAGCACCAGTTCCAGCACCTCTACCTGTTCCCGTACCTGTTCCAGTACCTGTTCCCGTACCTGTTCCAGTAGCTGTTCCAGTACCTGTTCCAGTAACAGCACCAACACCTCTACCGTTTCCAGTACCAACACCAGTTCCAACACCTCTACCCATCAACCCATCATGAATCAACAAAAGGAGCAGGGTAGCGATCAGGTACTCAAGGAATTCAATAGAATTCATAAGCCCTTGCTAACCAAAATGAAAATGTGTTGGGATGTTGGCTTCCCAATTCTTAAAGCCGATCGGAAGAAGACAAGGATTGGTGACTCACTTGCCCTGGAACTGGAGGATTTCATTTTATACCTACCAGAGAGGTATACTAATTTGAGTGATGATGCAATAGGTGCATTGAAAAATAAGCAGTATCGTATAGTTAAGAAGAGCGAAGATGACAAACTTCATTTGGAAATAAACAAATAAATAAATAAATAAAAATATATACTTTTTTAAACCAAACCCAACCTTGTCTTTATTATTATTATTATTAATATTTTTGAAGGGATATACATATAAATATTAATTCATTTTATCAACATAGCAGTATAACTTTTGAGTCGGCTGTTGGTAGACCTAACAATGAGTCGAATTATTTTAGAGCAGTTGACTAAGACACGAAACGTCTTGAAGAGAAAATTCGATGACCTTAAACAAATTAAGAATGAAAATGCAATTCAATGGGAAGAAAGTTTAAAACCGATTACAGATCCCTTACATCAACTCGTTAGTAAGAATAAAAATGAGAAATTTAAAAGTATCAAAAATGAGCACGACGACGACGACGACGACGAAGAATACACTGACGTTAAGAATAGGAGTAAAAAGTTTTCTATCAAGAGAAATCCAAGTTCCAAGTTTGAAGCTGTTGATGAGGATGAGGATGATTATCATGATGATGATGTTCAGGATGATGATGATGATGATGATGATGATGATGATGAATTCTTTTCCCAGTCAGCTTTAGAAGACACCACTGAACTTGATACAACCGCTGACAAATTTAATCTTAATATTAGTCAACTATTAAGAGACCATGTTTTAGACAAGGCTTATGGTCCTATTAAGGGTGCTAATTCACAATTAATGTTGGGAAGCAGCACTCTAAATATAAAAAATAAAAAAATTGAATTATCAAGTGGAAACACTTGGACCTTATCACCGGGTCTATATTCATTGATTTTTCATAGTAAACCAAATGGATACTCTGAAAATGAATTAGAGTCATACAAACAGATTTTACTTGAGACAAATGTATATAGACGAAATTACAGTCCAAATGATCAAATAAAAGGAAGTCGAGCAGAGAAATATGTAAAAATAATAAAGCGATTGTTGTTGGCGTCGTCGTCGTCGTCGTCGTCGTCGTCGTCGTCGTCGTCAACAGCAACAGCAACAGCTACAACAAGAACAAAGCCCTCGGCTATGTCTACTCCATTGCGATCAAAGAGAGGGGGAGGGTACATGAAACTAATGCAAACAAAACCGAATTATGTGTATTGGAATGATGTCAATGAATTAGTACAACGCCTACAAATATTAATTGCATCACAAACTGCTGGTAATAATAATCATAACAATGAGATTATGTCAATAGTAGAGGAGTTGCGGGAATCACAGGTTATATACTAATAAATATGATAAGCACTCGAAATTTGCATACATATTCAAAATGTCTCTCGACAAGTTTGGACACTATTCAAATGATAAGAGGTGTTCAGAGCCCATGAAAAGAGAGATTAAATACATATCGGGGTTATACCTTGATTCAGATGGTCATCTAAATGCTCTGAAAAAACGAATTAAGAACTCCTCGAAACCAGTAAATAGTAATGATTTGGTTGTGAAGCAACATGTCGATGATAAATTAACAGAAATGAAAACTAGACAAACTGCAACTATTTCAGAAGCACATGACCAGCGAAATGCTAAAGTAACAGAATTGGAGAAACAAGTAAAAGATCTTATTAAACTCATTGACACTGTTAATGGAATAATCAATGAGGTTATTAGACGAGTAAATAATCTTAATAGTTTTGTTCTGGAAAACTGTAAAATTCCAAAGACACAAAATATAGAAATAGATGTAACGAAGTTTAGGAAAAGTCCGTTTGCACATCGAGAATAAATATACTGCACACCCCAATATTAAACTTATATTCATCATGTCACTTGACAAGTTTGGACATTACTTCAGTGATAAACAGCAGCAGCAGCAGCAGCATCATCTACACTTGGGACAATTTAAAACAGATGTCAAAAGTATAATAGGTTTTCATATTGATGCGGACGGACATCTAAATGTAGAAGGAAAACGAATTAAAAATTGTCTAATTCCGACACATGCTGATGATTTGATTACAAAAGAATATTTAGATAATAGAATATATGAGGTGGAACTAGAAATAGCCAATACACTTTGGAAAATAGTTCGAAAACGAAATCCAAAAGTATCCCAAATACAAAATATCATAAAACAGCTTAAAGAGCGTGTAGAGAATATCAAAAAAACCATTCTAGATGAAAATATGCCCAAATTAGATACTATAGAAGATTACCTTATTAAATATGTTTCAACAGCCTCATCAATACCAACACAATTAACGGGTGATACCTCTTTAATTGGTATAACCAGTTTAAAAATAGAAGAGATACCCATTATAATAAATCAAGTGAGAACATGAGTAAGCGAGATATTGTCAATGAACTGCATGCACCCTCATACAAGAATTTTCGACGGCGAAGAGTTGTTATGAAGGGTATAAATGATTTGTGGCAGGCTGATTTAGTAGAAATGGGGGTGTACGCATCAACTAATAACGGATATAGATATTTGCTCACAGTAATAGATACTTTTTCTAAATATGCATGGGGAGAGGCGGTAAAGTCGAAGAGTGCATTAGATGTCTCTCAAGCGATGGAGAAAATATTTAAATCAGGTCGCGGAGTACCCAAGAACATACAAACTGATGATGGAACTGAATTCTTTAATAAACAATTCAAGGCGCTAATGAAACGACATGATATTAATCATTACTCAACATTCAGTAGTTTAAAGGCCTCAATTGTGGAACGATTCAATAGAACCTTAAAGGAAATGATGTGGCGTGAATTCAGTTACAATGGTAAATACAAGTGGATTGACATTTATAAAAACCTAATTGAAATATACAACAATCGCCCGCATAGAACAATTAAAATGAAACCAAATGATGTAAATTCGAGCAATGAAAAACATCTCTTGATGACGGCATACAACCATATAAAAATATTTATAGATGGAAAATTTCGTAAGGGTGACCTTGTACGCATTAGTAAATATAAGCATGTATTTGAAAAGGGCTACACACCGAATTGGACAACAGAAATTTTTAGAATTCGTCAAGTTAAAAATACATTTCCCGCAACATATTTACTTGAAGATCTAACTGGAAGTCCCATCGAGGGAGGTTTTTATAAACAAGAAATAAAAAAAACCCGTTTTCCCGACACATATCTAGTGGACAAGGTCATAAAACGAAAAGGGGACAGAGTTCTTGTGAGTTGGTTAGGTTTCCCAAAAACAGAAAATAGCTGGATACATAAAAACGAAATTCTATAAATATGCGTACGCATGCATGCATGTATTATGGTGCTGGTGGTGGTGGTTGTGGTGGTGGGGGCTGTTGTTTAATTTCGGCTGGCAATGAAAGGGATGGAGGTCATTTGGTTTCACAATCATATGGGTGCGTACATATTTCGGTTTTGATTAGAAATTACCTAATTTATTCTACGAAAATAAAATCCGAAATATACAACACATGGCCCTTATCTGTGCATGTGTGAGTGTATATGTTGTATGTTATATGTCTAACCGAGGCGTAATAATAAAACGAAAAGTTTCTGATGTTCAGTTCTCGCTGGAAATTCAAGCAAGTCAAAGGCATTTAAGATGATTGTGCCAACGGTCCGTGTATTCTTTTTTTCCGTTTTTGTGTTAGTGTTTGGTGTAAACTCCGCTCCTGTGAGATATATCATAGAGAGTGAAGTGTCAAATTCTACGAAAGTGTTGGAGGATCTCCAATTCATAATAAACATTCCACATTCGGACAGAAGTCTTAAAGTGGAACTGTCATTTGATATCCTGGAAAACAGTTCCATTTACAAGGATGGTGATAGTGCACTAGTGTCAACCAAAAAATCTCAAATTGAAGTGGAATCAACGGCAGCAGCAACAACAACAACAGAAACAGAAACTACAACCACCAGCACCACCACCAGCACCCCAGAAGTGGAATCAACGGCAGCAACAACAACAACAACAACAACAGAAACTACAACCACCAGCACCACCACCAGCACCCCAGAAGTGGAATCAACGGCAGCAGCAACAACAACAACAGAAACTACAACCACCACCACCACCAGCACCCCAGAAGTGGAATCAACGGCAGCAGCAACAACAACAACAGAAACTACAACCACCACCACCAGCACCCCAGAAGTGGAATCAACAGCAGAAACCTCAACCTCAACCTCACCAAGCAAACAAATACTTTTCGGTATTCATGGTACTGACGATGAGTACGATGATGATGATGATGAAAAAGATAATAGCGTAAGTCGTCCTTATAAGCGGAATATAACTTTAAAAACATCACTTTCGAATAAAAATCCATTAGTATTAACGACCAAGAGAGGAATAATAAAGAATTTTAAGGAGAATTTAGTGAGAACAGAGCAGTTAATTGGGGGACACATGGATATAGGACACAGGGGGTTAAATAGATATTTCAAGCTACAATTTAATGATGTAATGGTCGGCATAAAGTGCCATTATAGATCCATCTTGAGAAGAGATTTTGAGAATGAAAAAAGTGTAGAATTCAAATCAGTTTTAAAAATAAACTGTTTTGAATTTGCTGAAGTTTTAACTCCTGAATCGATGAAGAGAGAGAGAGCTAGTGACAAGAAATTAAGGGAGATGTTATATGAAAGTGTGAGTCGCATTAAAGCGGAGAACAGTTCAAATCATCAAATCGAGTCATATATTAGCGAAATTCAAAGCGATCAGGCTCAGATTCTTAATGAATCATACTTAAATAACAAGCGATTGACGGAAAAATTGCTTGATGAGCATTTGAAGGCAGTAGAAGAGTCGGACGGAGATCCCGAAGAATTTATACTAGTGTCAGGTTTAAATAATTATAAATCAAAACTCAATGTTAAAGTTTTGTAACAAGGTGAAAGAGAGAGAGAGAGAGAGAGAGGGTTAAAAAATTATATTTTTTACAGCTCCTTTCTTATAGTAAAGAAGAAGCAGCCGTGGATGATGACACAGTAATTGCTGTAGAAGGTAAGCAAAAATAAAAAAAATTAAATACATTTTTTCGTTTGTTTTGTTTTTCTCAAACCTGATATTAATATGTTCTTTTCTTTCTTCCTTTTTTTTTTTTTGTATTCCAGGCGGAATTGATAACTATATTCAAGTTATTAAACTTGAAATTGAGAATTCATCGGATGAGGCATTAGTTGATGTGGGTGGTGAAATAGATAAAGCCATTTATATTAAGGGTAGCTGTTGAGCTACTGAGCTTCTTCAGTAGCGTTGTATTGCGATATTATTAAAAAGGCGTTCAGTTAATGTATTCACAGTTTATTGTACTTAAGTTAATATATATGTTTTATCCAAAACTAGCGAAAGGTGTGCGGATTTGATAACGAGAGTTAACGATGGGTCGATTGAAGACGCGGGGGCCGGTTCAAGACTGTTGAAGTTGTTAGATTTATGTAAGGTTTAGTTTAGAACTATGTGGCAGGCAGGTCACTGTGCCAAACAGCAAAACGTTTAACTACGGAGATGATCGAATCTGAAGTGTCTTCTGCTTTCTCTGACGAGCCTCCACCACAGCGGCTGTCGAACGCCGACAGAGAGCAAAGCACCAGACAGAGCATAAGCAAAGCAAACAAAACAGTAATAAGAGAGACGTTACTTTTAAGAGATGTTACATATGGTCTCTTTGCTCATTGTGCTGCCATGGGCCGGCGCTTAGCCGAACATACTCCCCCGTTGAAGAGCGCGGATCTTTAACGTCCTTATTTTGCAGCACTGTTGTTGTCTTCAGCACCGTCTTCAGTACCGCTACTCCGGACTTTATTTCTGACCCTATGCTGGGTCGAGCGAGGGGCCACTTCAGATGAGCTACCTGAAAATAGAGAAGCAAAAAGTGGAGCTGCCTTGAGAGACGGAGAAACCTCTCCTGCAACTATCCATCCCAGTTTGGTCTCCTGAAGACGTGGCAGTCCAGTTCCCAACTTGATATTGCCAGGGCATAGAAGCTCGAAGAACAGAGCCGCTCCAATCAGAATATCAACTGGCTGGGGCTGGTGAAACTTCTGATCCGCCAGAGGTATGTTGGAGGGCATGTTCCAGCGATTAATGTCGTGGATACCGTTGGGTTGGTTACCCGTAATGGTTGGAGCAATAAGTGCCGTAATGGTCGCGGCATAGTTGGACGCGTATGATTCCAGTTGGATATCGACGCAGCATCCTTCGGATATGGCACACGAATCGCCTAGACCAGAAACGGAAACTTCCGACTCTTTCTTCTGTAGCTGCAACTGTTGAGCCAGACGAGAAGTGACGAAATGCACCTGCGATCCAGAATCGAGCAGGGCACGGCAAGGAATCAACATCCCGGAGCGACTCCTTACGCTGATTATGGCAGTGGGCAAAATCACAGCGTCCCGTCGATGACTCTGGGCCAAGAGCGACGTGGCTGACGATGTTACGGCATGTTCAGCGACAGAGGGTATCGCGGGAATTCGTAGAGTCGATGTTGATTTGACGAGTTGAGGCAGAATGGCTTGAGAAGTGTAGGACGAAGACTCGGAATGAAGTAGTGTGTTATGCTTAGCACCACATACTCGGCAGGATCGTGACCGACATTCACCTTGCTGATGGCCTGATCGGAGGCAGTTGGTGCATAGGGATAGCTTATTAGCTTCCTGGAGCCGAAGTCGAGGAGAAAGGTTGCTGAATTGAGAACATCGATATATCGAATGTCCGGTGTCGCCGCAGAGCGCGCAGGCAATCGGCTTGAAGGTAGTTGCAACTAGGCAGTGTTTCCGATTGCTATTAGTGTACATTTCCTTAGCGTGCTCCTGAGTCTCCAACCTCTGGCATCTCTGCTCCAGAAAAGCGGTAAATTGCTGGCTTGTGGGTATGCTATCCATTGACGAGCATTCCTCCCACTTGGCTTGTGTGGCGCTGTCCACTTTCTGTAGCAGGATATGTATCAGAATGCAGTCAGCTATCTGGTCCTTTGTCCCCATACTCTGCAAGGCCCGCAGATTGGCATTTACAGTATCTGACAATGACCGGAGCTGGGACACAGACGAGGTCTCAATACGCTGCACACCCAAAATGTCGGTGACATGTGCCTGAAATATTAAACGCTTGTTATTGAATCGTTTATTAAGAAGGTCTAGGGCGATGGGATAGCTGGCGTGGCTGAATTCTAGCGAAGAGATTGTGTCTAGAGCAGGTCCTTTCAGGCAGGATCGTAGGTGCTGCAGCTTCTCCACATTCGTTAGGTCAGAATCCTTGTCAATTATGGAGGCAAACATGCCCCAAAACGCAGCATATTTCGCGTAGCCCCCGCTGAATTCGGGAAGCTTTAATTCCGGCAGGCGAGGCCGACTCTGCACTATGACTGTAGCTGGGGCCTCTCCAACATGATCCGTCCGCATTGTTGAGCATGGGAGCATTGTGGGCTGCCGCTTGTTCAACTCGCGCTTCATACGAATTTCCAGCATGACCACGCATTCGTCAAACTCCTCCCTCAAGGGACTGCCAATCTCATCGAGATCAATCCTCTCCAGGGCATTATGGTGCTCGTTGAACGAAGCGACCAGATCCGCTAGCAACTTTAGTCGCACATTTAACTCCTCCTCACTGAGTTCCCCAATCCTCTCCTTGCCGACGGCAGTTTCCATTCTCCGTGCTGCTCCTACCATGGATTGCACCTTGCGCTTGTTGAATGCAGCTTCCGAATCGACGAACAAAGGTGAGGGGGAGAGATTGAAGGGGTGCTATTAGAAGCCATCGTGTATGCTCAGTAGAAAGCTGGGTTTAGAGTCACTGAGCGAGTGTAGAGGTTAACAGCCGGTGAATAACCTCGAGCAGTTTTACATGAACTGTACAATCGATCGCAGCGCTCAAAACACACGGTCTTGCAGTTTTACAGATCAGCAGCGTGAGCTAACAGTTTGAAACGCACTAAACTTGTGCATCCGACAACAACAAAGGCATGCACACTGAGAGCACGAAACCGAAACGAAACAGCAGCAAGCAAGCAGACCGCAAAGCAGATGACGCGAGAACCGTTTCTGTTGCTTGTGCACATACGACAAACCGAAAAAACCGTGGTTCAAAGCCAATTTATCCAACGAAAATGTTATGTTTTTTGTGATAAAATTTAACAAGTTTATGTTTCTATCACGTCGGGGTCACCAAATGTTGAGCTACTGAGCTTCTTCAGTAGCGTTGTATTGCGATATTATTAAAAAGGCGTTCAGTTAATGTATTCACAGTTTATTGTACTTAAGTTAATATATATGTTTTATCCAAAACTAGCGAAAGGTGTGCGGATTTGATAACGAGAGTTAACGATGGGTCGATTGAAGACGCGGGGGCCGGTTCAAGACTGTTGAAGTTGTTAGATTTATGTAAGGTTTAGTTTAGAACTATGTGGCAGGCAGGTCACTGTGCCAAACAGCAAAACGTTTAACTACGGAGATGATCGAATCTGAAGTGTCTTCTGCTTTCTCTGACGAGCCTCCACCACAGCGGCTGTCGAACGCCGACAGAGAGCAAAGCACCAGACAGAGCATAAGCAAAGCAAACAAAACAGTAATAAAGAGAGACGTTACTTTTAAGAGATGTTACATATGGTCTCTTTGCTCATTGTGCTGCCATGGGCCGGCGCTTAGCCGAACAGTAGCCTTAATAGTTATAAACAAAAAATACCTTTAAGCGTTTTGTAATTTGAGTAATTGAAAAATTTTAATTGTTTCATTGTTTCATTGTTCTTTGTTTATTGTGTCATATATAAAAATGTTTCGAAATAATAAAACTTATATTCTTTATTAATAAAACTTATATATATATAATAACAAAAATGTTAATACTAATAGAATTGTAATAATAGAATTAATAATAATGAAAATTTTTATACAATTTAAAGTTACAGTTTAATTCAATTTACATCAATAAAATGTTTTGTTTAAAATTTAAATTTTGACTTTTGACTTTTTTTTTTCTTTATTTATTTTTTTTGTTTTTTATTTATTTACTCAAGTCTTCATATAGCATTTCTAACTCCTGGTTAGCGAATGCAATCATCCACTCCGATGTATCCTTTTCATTTTTACACGATTCTAGTTCAGAGGTTTGTTCACGAGTCCGACCCGGGTTTTTTTCTAGTTCCTCTATTTGTAAATCATATGCATTAATTTTCAAACTAATATCTCTAATCTCTGCCAAGAGTCGTTTTTCAAACAACTTCTGATGACCGTGGGCCAAGGTATCAATTTTATTTGGTTCGATGTATCTTTTATCATCTTTACTATCAAGTACAACTTTGTTGCATGTTGATGTAGTAAGATGATGTCCTACTGACCTAATCAACGACATATCACCCCTAACTGGCTGTTCTGTTAGCAGACATCTTTTATAAGAGCCGAAATCTAACTTGTCCACAGCACTTCTTTTCACCCCCTTAGACTTTTTACAAGTCTGTATCACCTCTCCATCTACTTTGTAGGAATACATTTTTGATCGGAGTCCAACAAACTCGAGCATGGGTCTTCCATTCAGCTCATCCTTAAAGAACCCTAACCTTTTCTTATTAACCCTCTCAAAATTATATTTCGAAATAGCTTCATCGGAATAATCCGATGTATCAAATTTGAATTGCAGATCATTACGAATATCGCTATAAAAATCATCAGTTTTTATAGTATATATAAATGAATCTGTATCCATATAATTTAATGTAGCGTTTTCCCCGAATTTAGGTTTAATGTAACCATAGTGGAAATCATACATTTTCAACTTGGACAATTCTAGCACAACAAACCCTAAATATAGGGGTTTGTTGTACACCACATTCAACTGTTTCAGTTGAATTGCATAAAAGTTTTCACTGAATTTTTTGCAATTCTGAAAATTACTCTTAGCAATCAACGATCTCGCACATAATCGCTTAGCACCAGCTGAATCAGTTGGTGATGCAGATTCCCACTCATTAGTTAATTTAACTACTATCCTTTTATCTACATTCTCCATTGTTTTCCCATACACTGCATTATTCATAAGTTTCCATAGGTCTTTTGCAAAGGAATTTGTTGCATTCGTTCTATGCAGCGTGTTGAGGTCTATATACTTTTTGAGCCACGGTTTTTGGAGGAAACGCATACCTCTATGAATTTTGGTCAATTTTAGACCATTGGCAACGCATTGTTTGAGATTATTGTAGTGGATAATATAATTCTCTTTATCCTCTAAATCAGCTATTAGTTTTTTAACCTTTGCTGATTCGGTGGGTAATTTATTAGCTGGGCAAAACGGTAGATCGTTATGATCATTATGAATTTTGTATGGATAGCTCAAGTCTACCTCAAGAATATATCCATACTCTGAATTTTCTGAAGTGTTTAAAAAGTCAATATTTGATATCTCACTTTCAGATAACCATTCAAAACCTCCATAAGGGAGATTTTGAGACATTGCCCAACCATAAAGATTGTTGGCATCCAAATATGTTAAATACGATGATTCTTTACTTGGATCATAAGTCTGCAGGTATTTATTGTTTGCCTGTGAATGGCGGAGAGAACATTGGGTTAAACCCCCACGAATACCTGACTGCATAAACCGATACATATCTATATCGGTTAGAAGTTCTAGTTCCACATCTGTGGTTCTCAACATGGCATCCCACGCAAACCCAGGAAGTGTATAATAATGAGCAGGGTCAAGAGGATGCACTTTTGAGACGACCGCTCTGAAGCTTTCGAAGACATCAGCTAATAAGAAAACATCTGTTTTCAGGTACAGTTCTAAATAATCTTGTAGAGTTTTGCAAGAAAATTCACTCCAAACTCTATGTGCATGGGCATAATTTTCTTCAGAGCATTCTGTCTCAGTCAACGAACTGTAGAATGCATCTCTTGATGGTAGAGAAGTCTCCTCTAGCTTGTTGACTGAGTCCAGATACTCGTACGGAAATACACCCTTTCTACGCATGAGTTCGAACTGACTGTCTGAACTGAAATGATGTCTCACTGTTTTTAGCTGTGCTTCCTCTAGTGTACCCGCAAGAGTGTCCAAGGAAGCCGGTAAAAAGCGAATCGAATCTAGAAAACGAATCTCTAGAGTCCTCTCTTCATCTATTCTAATAATCTTGGATACAGAAATGTATTGTTCCTTATTGACGGGTATTACTTTAATTTCTCCAGGTATGAGTGCCAGATCCTTGATAAAAAGATGACAATCATACCTGGAGAAATTGTGGAAAAAAACTGGAATGAAATTCCCTATTTTGTATTTTAAATTGCATGCATTGTGTGCAGCACCTCTAAATATGCCTGTCATATGGCAATGGTCTCTTACCCTATCTGTATTTAAAATACCCCCACATATATGGCAACTAATTGCCTCCTCAAACTCTATCTCTTCTTCATCACTAATTATTATATCTACTACCTTGCTTAAATAATTAATGTATATGTTGGTAAGTTTTTTAATTAAAGACTGTATAAAACTAGCACCGGCATTATATTCGGTTTTGAGAACCAACTCATCTAAACTAGAATCGTGTGCACATTTTAAATAATATGAAAAGGATATAGGTATATGGGTATTAACATTTATTGTGTTTGCACTTACTGCTACATTTGTCGGCTCCAGAAGACATTCAAAGTCTCCGTATACCACAAACGGTACCTTAAGAGCTCGATGCTGATTTTTAAATTTAAGCATTGCTTGCTTCGGATGAGGAAGTGTGGACACCTTCCCACTACATATCTCCTTGTGTCGTAGGGATGCCTCCTCACTCTGCGAATAATTCAAGCAAATGTTGCAGAACCATTGCTTCACCTTGCGCCTTCCAGTCTGCGATGAAATTAACCTAGAGATATAAACGGGGTGGAGGGTGATGAAAAATAGCTATATATACTAATGAAAAATAGCAACAGCTACATGAACTACAAGAACTACAAGAACTACAAAAACAAGAACAACAGTGGTAATAAAATGTAAAGTTCACTTACGCTGATAACCGCTTAATCCAGGTATAGTGAGCACTGTGGTCACTTTCTATGAGTAGCATATTAATATGATGCTCGCGTACCTCCTTCGGATAAAACAAGGGCCCAAACACTTGTGATTTTTCGTTGTCGAATCCAAACAACGTTATACTAATATCCGGGTTTATATCCATAAACCTTTGGATGTGTCTTGGGTTCAGCGGGAAATCCAGTCCAGCAAACTGCAGAGTTATATTTTTCACTGTTATTGCATCATCATATATCCTCACGTTGTATGAGGCACAACGGGTTGCGTGATTATCCAGATTGGTCAGGGCCGCAATCAATGTCCACTTAAAACAGAGGTCATCGTCTCTGTTGACTACATTTATTATTGCCTTTTTCCGCTTTAGACTGTCTGGCATTTTTATTCCCTCATCCCGATTTTCATACACATAATGTATGATTCGTCCACCGAATCCGGCCGATACTCGCTTGATTCGATCATCAACCGGCTCAATAACCTTAATTTTGTGTTGTTCTGATCTGAGATGTTGATGCCATCTCACATTGATTGACAGGGTCACGTCACAGACGGGGCAATAGATCGGGGTGCGATTCATATTGATGGTTTTGTTTTTTGGATGCTTTTCGTGAAGATGATGTTGTTGATGTTGTAGTGATGCTTTTGATGCTTTTCGTGAAGATGATCTTGTTGAGGATGGATGTTGTTGATGCTTTTGATGCTTTTGATGCTTTTGATGCTTTTGTAGTAGTTGTGTTGTTGTTGTTGTTGTTGTTGTTGTTGGTTCACTGGCACTCAACTCAATTTCACTCACTCACTCACTAATTGATTCTTTGTCCTCGACTTGTACGATATGTGGATCGCGCACGCGGAGTTTTTTCTTTTGTTTTGTTTTTTTAAATTTATTTTTCACAGATACGATAAACGGGGGTTATGTGGGAATAGAATACGAATACGAATACGTTTGTATGTTTGAACAACTTGTTTGAAACTGAAAAATATTTTTCATATTTTTTAATTTGTAGTTCTAACGTTGTTCGTTTTTGAAATGAAACAGGTAAAATCCCTCCCCCTAACAAATACAAGTTGTATCCTATATTTGGTAGGGTGGCCTGTGACCTCTCGTATTCATTTTCCCACCTGGTCATAGAACCTTGACAATAGTACATGCTACGATTTGCTAGCAGCGACCCTAAAATTAGTAGACCCTAAAATTAGTAGATCATTGTTAGCACACACGCACACAAACAGACCCTTAGACTCAAATATAATATATTAGGGTACCCGCATATGCGGGTGGTGGTGCGGTACCATACATATGTCAACTGTACACCTGAGCACCTGCTCTGCAGGGTAAATGAGGGGGGCAAATATCGGTCACTAGGTCAACAGGTCACAGGTCATTAACAGAACAGAACAGAACAGAACATAACAGACATGATCTGATTAGTTGTTGTTGTTGTTGTGGCAGCGACCCTTTAATTAGTATATCACCACCACCACCCCTCACGCATGAGAGCACACCCCTAAATAGCACCCTCATTAAGGAAACTAGGTCAACTGCCATGATCTGACTAGTTGTTGTGACAGCGACCCTTAAATTAGTAGAAGTTAACAATACAGACAATTAAAAATTAACCTCGGATTGAGCTGTACGCAAACGCACGCACTCCCCACCCCCCGACTTAAACAGGTGTCAGAGAGTAGGGAGGGTGTATACAACTTCATTACGGCTAACGAGAACTCACCCTATAACACTCCCTTCGCCAGCAACTGTACGCATGTGCAACCTACCCGACCAATCAAATTCAACCACCGTCACGCATGAGACCACACCCTTCAACCCCATACGCATGTGCAACCAACCACCGTCACGCATGAGCATACATGTACGCAGCTGCAACCAACCAACCCTCACGCATGAGCGCACACCCCTCAATTTCACCCTCATTAACGTAACTAGGTCAACTCTCACCCCCACTTTTTACCTAATTAGGTCAACTTTCACCCTCATTAACGTAACTAGGTCAACTCTCACCCCCCTTTTTATGATTTATTACCCCTTAATTACCCTCCCACCCCCCTTAATTGTGATTAATGGCCCATTAATCATCCCCCCACCCCCATTAATTGTAATTAATGACCCATCAATCACCCCCACCCCCACCTGTCAACACCTCTTGGCTCAGAACCCGCATTATTACACTACTATCTTCGACTAAATGTTTCTTTAAACATGGGAAAAAGATATTTGTGAGAATTAAAGTTAGCGACCTTTATACTAATGGAACCTTCGACTTAGGTCAATTTTTCCAAAGGCTTGAAAAAGAAGCCGGTATAAATAACATCAGCCAACTTAAAATGGCACCGAGCGAAGAAATCTTTGAGAACATTTCAATAGATTCTTTTAAGAACAAGGGCAATAAAATATTAAAGAATTTAAGAGTAGCGCTACTCAAGCCGGTGACCATAATAAAAGAAAATAAAGAAAAAGAAGAGATACTGTCTACATTCCATGATGATCCAATCCAAGGAGGTCACACAGGTATAGCTAAAACATTAGCGAAAATAAGAAGGCATTATTATTGGAAAAACATGACACGTCAAACTACAAATTATGTGAGAAAGTGTCCCAAATGCCAAAAGTCCAAAACGACTAAACATACCAAGACCCCATTGACTATAACTGAAACACCACAAATGGCGTTTGATAGGGTAATTGTGGATACGATCGGTCCACTTCCTAAATCAGAACAAGGAAACGAATATGCAGTCACTTTAATCTGTGACTTGACAAAATACCTTGTAGCCATACCAATCAAGAACAAAAGTGCAAAAACAGTAGCTAAAGCTATATTTGAAGATTTTATTCTAAAGTACGGTCCAATGAAGACGTTCATTACGGACATGGGAACGGAATACAAAAATTCAACAATTGAAGATTTATGTAAAAACTTAAATATTCAAAACATAACATCCACTGCACATCATCACCAGACTGTAGGAACCGTGGAGCGAAGCCACAGAACTTTTAATGAGTTCATACGCTCATACATCTCAACTGACAAAACAGATTGGGATGTATGGCTACAATACTTCGTATATTGCTTCAACACAACCCCCTCTATGGCACATGATTATTGTCCATATGAATTAGTTTTCGGTAAGACTTCGAAATTACCATTACATTTTAATAGCATAGATAGAATAGATCCTCTTTATAATATAGATGATTACGCTAAAGAATCAAAATTTAGACTAGAACAAGCTTTTAAAAGAGCAAGATTAATGATAGAATCTAATAAACAGAAACAAAAAATTAATTATGATAAAAACTGTTTAGATTTAAAATTAAAAACAGGAGATCAGGTTTTATTGAAAAATGAAACAGGTCATAAGTTAGATTTTAAATATACTGGACCATATAAGGTAGATAGTATAGGAGAAAATGATAATATAACAATTTCAAATATAAAAGACAAAAAACAAAAAGTACATAAGGATAGATTAAAACTTTTCATTTCATAATAATTTCATTTTATCCTGTCATGACCATGATTTAGGTAACCATGACTTAGGTAGGCATACGTAAAATAGCCATGATTTAGGTAACCATGACTTAAGTAAGCACACGTATATAACCATGATACATAGTTCATCGGAAATAAAAAAAATAAAAAAATAATAATAAAAACAATAAATATATAAATAAATTAAAAAAAAAAAAAGAAAATTTTTATATACATAAACATACATGTTAGTTCACAAAATTCAAATATTGTTTCAAATAACTTCATATATTACGTTATTTTTTTAAAAAGGGAGGTGTAGTGAACCCATGCATGTACATATGTAACACTCTGTTATATATATAAATACATATATACATATGAGCAGTGACATAAACAACTTATGTTTATGTTACACATTCCTTTTGCACAGCAACGATCTAAGACTTGAACGCAGATCGGACAGCTACCAAAACTGCTGAGCAATACTTATGCGGTGGTACTCTTTTCATATAATGCATGGGAGAACTCTCGCTCTCCGTTATACATAAGAACGATTGTACCCTAGGATAAGAAGAAAAAGATATTCAATAAACATTCTGAATTAAGCCACCAACCGATGCGGTATGACTTCGCTGAGCTTCAACATAACAGTGGTAAGCCAGGGCACCGTGCTGCTAATTGTGAAGTTAAGGTCGAAACCGGACAAGAAAGGAGGATGAATACGAACATTATTCGAGATAAGGAAGTCGTTGCTAAGCCGACAGGTATTTTCACTCCATCAGGTTTGGAATTAAAGAATGTAAAGTATGCTACATTTGTATTCCAAGGTTTAATTGACACGGGAGCAGATTTGTGTTTAATTCGTAGAGGTGTATTCTTGAAATTCGGAAATGTTAAACTGATCGGCCGCGAGAAATGTTTAACAGGTATTGGAGATAGTCAAGTTGTGACTTTCGGTAGCTTTTCGATACCAGTGAAAGTGGATGAGATTGAAATGGAGGTAGAATTTCATGTCATACCTAACGAGGATATTGGTTTTGAAGCCATTTTAGGAAGGACTATTCTTGATCATGTTGATATGCAAGTTTCTAAGGCAGGAACAAAGTTTGTTCGTAGAGTTTTTATTGAGGAAAAAGATCAGAAACCAAATAATGTAGAATCGTCGTCATGTGAGGAATTGTTTGATGAGTTTGGAGGCATTTGCATGTCAAGTATTGATGAAGTTGAGAAGGAGTGCTCAGTGGACGTATCGCATCTCAGTGAGTCAGATATCATATCAGTTATCAGCCATATCAGTTATGAGTATGGTCAAAGAGTACCAGCCTCAGAGGAATGTTGATGCACCTGTCAAAATGAAAATCATATTAGCGGATGAGATTCCAGTTTTTCAGCATCCAAGACGCTTAGCGATGTATGAGCAAGAAATCGTAGATAAGCAAGTGGAAGAGTGGTTGGCTCAGAAGATTATAAAGCCAAGTACATCGGAGTACGCATCACCAGTAGTGTTGGTTGGAAAAAAGAATGGCAGCAAAAGGTTATGCTGTGACTACAGAAAGCTTAACGAGAAAATAATTCGCGATAACTTTCCAATGTCACACATGGATACAGTGTTGGAGAAGCTGCAGGGTGCAAAGTATTTCACCACATTGGATTTAACGAATGGTTTCTTCCATGTACCAGTAGAAGTGGAGTCTCAAAAATATACGTCTTTTGTGACTCAAAAGGGCCAGTTCGAATTTTTATATGTACCATTTGGAATTTCTAACTCCCAAGCGGTATTTACCAGATTTATAATGGCAGTGTTGAGAGATTTGGTGAAGAAAGACGAAGCAGCAGTCTATATGGATGACGTAATCATTTCGAGTCAAGGCATAGAAGAGGGTTTGTTAAAGCTGAGAAAAGTTTTAAAGGTAGCTGAATTGAATGGGCTACGTATAAATTGGAGCAAGTGTCAGCTGTTACAACAAAAGGTTAATTTTCTAGGGTATATAGTAGAAAATAATACGATAAGACCAAGCGATGAGAAGACGTGGGCTGTCGAAAAGTTCCCAGTGCCAGGTGATAAGAAGGCAGTACAGCGTTTCAT